ATACTATAAGTATTGTTTAGAATATGTATACAATGAATATCAATAATAATAAATTCCATAAATTCTACTGGGTTTGGTTATATGTATATATTATTTGCTAAATTGTACGAAGTATATAATTTGAATCATTTATAAAACCTGCACCACTAATGCGCATTTTTTTATCCAGATCTTTACAAATTACATTTTTTGATCAAATTTTAATTAAAATCAAAAGTTTACAATACCTGCTATAGCGAATAAGACGTTTTTTAGTGTTTATGTTAAGCTCTAAGATAACTGTTTCTTTTTTTCTATATATAGTGGAAATAGCATAACTATTAAATACGAATCAGATGTTTCAATACATTATTTTTTACTATGAAGAATATTTTGAATACTTGTTTAAAAGTTTACTCGCTTCTGTGTGCACTTTTTCATCTTCATCTGTTAATATTGGTTTCTCTAAAACTTCTTTTAAAAAATCAGTTGCTTGTGAATATTTCTTTAAAGCAATATAACATTTGCTAATATACAACTGAGTATGTGGGGTTTTATTTCCAAGCCTTGCTGCTGTTTCAAAACAATTGAGTGCTTCTTCATGTGAGACATTTGGAAAATCAGAAAATAATGTTATTGCTACCTATAAAAATTTAAGAAAAATTTAAAAATATACTTTCTTCTTTGTATTAATGTTGTTTAATATATTGTATTAAAAATCAAACCTTTTTCTCAATCCAACTTAAATTGGCTATTTCATATTTAAATCTTCCTAATAGGTAATGCAATTCAAAATCATCTGGCTGCATTTCTAAAGCCTTTGTTATGTAATTTTTAAAAACAACACCATTCTTTATTTTTTCTGTTGTTGATAAATAATCGCCATTTAATCCTATGAGAATAGCATACCATTTAAACAAATCAGGATTTCTGCTTTCTATAACTCTTTCACAATGTTTGATTCCTATTAAAAAATTATTTATTCTTATTATATTATGCTATATTATATGTAAATTCATATGTTATGCATACCTTCAAGAATTATCATTCTTCTAACATTTTGATCAGTCTCTGCTTCTGCATGATCATAACAAGCTCTTGCGAATCTCCATACTACCTCTATATTGTCTTGGTAAGATTTTAGCAATATTTGTAGTTTATTGTAAGTCCTGACATCAAATTGTTCGTTTACTTGTTCATCAATCTCCTTCAGTATTATATCCAGTTGGTTTAGTTCCTCTGAGATCCTATATTACTGAACATATAATCTCTTCCTTTTACATTTTTAAAATAACTTTACTTGTCAAAATGATCAAACTCTAATTTTCCAAATTAGTATAAGTAATCATGCTTAAATCATGAATTAAATAATACAATTGGAATATTCTTAAGATGTTTCTTCAGGAAGTGGATTCACACTTTTACTAGAATAAATTACAAATCTTCGTATGTGGCATTTATATAAGGTTAACATACTTACATTCTATGTGTTTATATTTCTGTACCAACCTTATGTCATTTTCACTAACAACACTTTCACCATCGGAGCAATCATAAAACTCATCATCTCCTATATCAGTGTCTGTTAAAAAAACATCAACATCTGTATCATTATCTGTTACAGTATATGTACTATCAGAATTAAATTTTCGTGAAATTCTTCGTTTCTTTTTCTGTTGCCTGAGTTGTAACCTTGAATAAAATAAAATACAATGTAGAATAAGTATAATACATACATGTATAAATATATAAATTTAAGTAAATATTTATATACATATCTTACATGGAACAACATTATTACCTTAAAGATTCTAATTCTGCATGTAATTCATTAATTCTTTTATTGGCAACATCTAAATCATTAATTGTTGAACTATACTGTTGATTTGCCAAAATTTTACGATAAATAAAAATACTAGCCGCACTTAGAACACCAACGGTTACACCGATGGCAACAGCAATTAAATTATTATGCATTATGCTGTAAATACAGTGTATATTAATGTGTTATACAGTATAGCTATATATCGTTATTTTATTAAATAAGAAATGAATATGCACATGTATTCGTATATAGGAAAGAATTATAACTACTATAAGTTACATAAACATAATAGAATACCGTTATTTCCTGTAATTTTTAGTATGTATAAATTCTATACAATATCGTACAAATCTTCCACATTTATCATTCGCTAATAACATAATAACTGCGTGAACAATGTAAGCATTTTATCATCTCAATAAAAGACAAATATATGGTCTTTCAATTCATGAATATAAAACGATTTCTTTCTTTTTTTATTTATAAAACGTTAATTACACGTCACAGAAGCCACATCATATACCGGCAATTAGGACCTTGCCCCGCAAACAAGTAGCACAGTTTCCATTGATAGTCATTTGATTTTATTATTTAACTATGTCTATTAATTATATAAACACTCTTTTGCAAGTTCAAAGTACAAAGTAATTCGAAATTTAAATTACAAATTGTGAATAACTTTAACGCGACATATGTTATTGCTACGTGGTTTGGACGCTGTATATATGAGATATATACATGTATACAATGATTCTAATATTTACACATGTGATTCTATATCAATTTATTTCGTTCATGAAAATCCACTGTTATTTTAAATTTCTAACTAATTAAGTTCAGATTTAAGTTATGTTCAAATTTAAAAAGAAGAGAAACTAAATGAAAAAAGACATTCAATTATAATTACTATTACATTATAAAATATAGTTCAATTGTAGCATATGTTTTTATTCAATACTTGCTTTTTTATTTGTAAAGTTACAAATAAGAAGTAAGTATAGCTAGAATAATGTATATAAAATACTTAAATTTTTTTTTAATGCGAAAAAATTGTAAAATGCTTGCTGATACTGTTGTAATATTTTAATATCTAGTTATAATTTGTAGTCTACATTCACAATGGTACAGATTTCTTTACAATAAGATAATTACAAGTCGTGAAGTAAATAAATATCTCTTTATAATTTTCATATTTTCTAAATTTATTTTGTATATCATTAAAATCAGATCAAGTTCAAAAAATTACATAAAAGTGATTGCAAAGTGAATTAGTCACATACACCTTTCACATAAAATTTAAATATCTATTTTTTTGAGAAATAAAATATATCTTTATTTTTTTATTCAATTAAGTTTCTTATACCAAAATATAATTTAGTTTGTGTGTGTACATACATGCATAATTATAAAATTTAGGCATGTAGGGATAAATAAAATATCTTTCATTCTAAAAAAATATGTTTATTAAC